TTATAAGAAAGCGAAATCGGCTTTTCTGGTAAAGCAAGAGTTTTTAATAATCTATATGCTTGTTTTCCGATGAATGTGAGGAAATGTGCTACAATAGTAACATCCTCATCACCTTCCTTGGTCATAGCCCAGATTTCGAAACTTTCAAAATAAGCCTTGAAAGCATCAAAATCTGAATGTATGTCCAACCGTTCCATCACAGGCTCAATCGCGATGCCAATATGATAATTGGAAGTATTTGAATTATAGTGTGAACTAAGAATCCCATAAAACAACGTAATGGGATGAAGAACTATTGATGTGTCCACTGAAATTAATCTTAGGAAGGTCGAAATCTCCGAAGTTGAAACGTATGTGTGTCGTTGTCATATCTGTCTGTCTGAGCCTGATTTAGACGAACAGAAAACCTTCATGAGCAGGGCTTTACAAGTGAATGGTTCCTGCCCCTTCCACGATATATTCTCAGGCCTATTTGACTGCATTAAGGACTTCCGCTCTCGGATATCACTGACTAAATCACTATGGTCCGTATCTTCCTGACCGCCTTGCACAGTGGTGTTTCCTCCGCGAAAAATGTCTCTTAACGTTCCTTTGAAATGCTTCTGATAAGATTGAGCTCCACATATGGCATATCTAGCAGTATTTTCATATCCTCTCACATCTGAATTAATGGTCGATCAGAGAAACGTCATTCACATTAGAAGCCCCAGTAAACGTTACACCAAGGAGTATTAGATTAGTTTCTTTTTGAAAACGACAGGAGAATTGATGGCCCTTGTTATTCCTGGCAATCGTGGTCTCTCAGTTGATCTAACATTCTTTTGAAAAAGTCGACGGATGGAGCTTTAACTACGTGTTGAGGTAATGAATTCCACTCGTTGATGATTCGATGAGAAAGTCGATAGTCAGATGACAAGTAATTCGTTCAGGACTTTTGAATATTTTCGGAGTGTCCTCGTAAATTCTCTGTTTTGGAAGAAAAATGAGGGCAAATCAAGTGCAAATTTATCACTAAGCAGTTTGAAAACTGTGATCAAGTGTCCTGTAGTTCTTTGTTATGACAACAGGAATAGGTTTAGCTTGGTCAGTTGAGCATCATACGGAATCTTCTCTATTCCGGGAATCAGCTTAGTTGCTGTTTTCTGAACTCTTTCTAAAACCTCACTGCCTTTTTTTAAGCAGCGGCTAGCCGCTTGTATGCAGTGCCCAAGTTTAGGACGCACAAACACTGTATACAAAGTCAAAAACGTTTTAGCGTCGACATGACTAAAGGCCTCACGTATTGATCATCAAGTTCCAAAATCTTTGGTGGATATTGCACAACAGTTTGCAGTACTGTTTAAGTCTTGTCTAACGATGACTCCTAAGTTATTATATGTCTGGATAACAGGTAGCTCAGTGTTATTCATCGCGTATGTATCTGTACCTTGATGACCAAGAAGCATCACAGTACACTTGGAAGTAATTATCGGCAACTGCTAGGTTTGAGACCATTCAGATAATTTCTTCAGGTCATTTTGAATTTCTAAGCTATCACCCTTACATCGTATCGTTATCCATATCTTGACATTGCCGGCATATAGCAAGACCGATGGTGATAGTGAACGAATAAAGTGATTAAAATACAAGAGGAATAATGCTGACCCCCAAACTGTACCCTGGGGCACTCCAATAAGCACAGCTTCCTAGCTAGATAACTTTGAGTCCACCCGTACTCTTTGTTGGCGCCCAACTAGGAAGTCTTCTATCCAAATCAATAGATTACCTCTAATTCCGACATTTCTTAGCTTATATAACAGCCGGTTGTGCGAAACCTTGTCAAAAGCTATGCTGAAATCAATGAGGGCTACGTCTACAGGTAACTTCTGGTCCCTAAGAGTGCACCAGCTTTCACGAGCGACTAATAAGTTGATGAGACAGGAATAACCTATTTCGAAACCGTGCTGCTTCTCCGAAAGGATCCGGCTTTCATTGAGGTACTTGAACAGCTCCTTCCGAATAATCTTTTCTAAGATTTTAACAACTACACTAATTAGGCTAACGTGTCGGTACTTCTCAGGTTTATGTTTCGTACCTGTTTTAAAGACAGGACTTACTATGGCGTTCTTTCAGTCTTTTGGTAGAAGACCCTGCGTAAGGGATAGATTAAAGCATATACTTAAAGGTTTCGCAATGAAGTTAGATAATTCCTTCAGTAGCCTAAGATGCAATTCATCGGACCCCGTGGAGTTACTTATGTCAAGCTTATTTAGCAGACCAAAAACATCGAGTTCCTTTATGGCCACGCTGTTCAGTGTTGGTGTGGGGTGATTTGTATGGACTGACGCAAAGGGTGTTTCTATGGTACATAAATTTTTAAAGTAGTTTGAGAATACTTGAGCTTTACCAAAGTCACCCTCCACTGAAGATGAAGCAGTACTGTCTCCCCATAGTGCAGGAATATTTCCTCTTCTCTTTGTCCCTTGCTTTATATAGGAATACAAGCGTTTAGGACATTCTTTGAATTTCTTAACAATTGTTTCTTCGTACAACTTTCTAGACTTACGCAGGGTCGAAGCACAAGCATTCCGAGCTTTTCGATAATGAGATTTTGTCTCATCGGTCCCCAGTAACCTAAATCTCTCCCACATTTTTCTTCTCTTACGGAGAAGGATGCGGACCTCCCTACTGAATCATGGTAGAGAGTTTCTCAGTCCTTTTGGTCTAGTCCAACGGATGTGTGGGGTGGTAACTTTTAAGTATAAAATTCGAAATACGTCCCAAGCCGTTTCGATTGAGGACTCTGGGTCTATTATTTAATCTACTGACGATGCTGAGTGCAGGATATCTTGTATGTTTGCTTTCCAGACGTTAGGTCCGGATTGAGCTGATGCGTGCTCGTGATTGACAATTGTACGGAAATCAAAATTTAAAACTGTGTGATCACTTTTACCCAGGAGTGGCATGTAATTGAGGTTTGTAACGTCATCCTCATAATGAGTCAGTATGAGATCTAGTAAGGAGGATTGAGAGTCCGGGTTGTACCTAGTCGCTTCTTTCACATGTTGCACTATGGCACATGTGATAACCACATTAACTAGTTCCTGATTGAAGGAATTATCTGACGATTCAGTTCGCAGATTTTTCCAGTCTACCATGGGTACGTTAAAGTCCCCTAGGATAAGACATCAGTCAGTTTGTGACCAAATATTGAGACTGCTTAGCAAGACCTTATTTACCTCACAGCTTGGACTGCGATAGACCAAACCAATCAGTAGATTTTGTCCCTTGCATTTCACGCGGCAACTAACTAATTCACACCTCCCACTCTCATGGGATACACTGTCGATAATGGCAAATGGGATAGAATTCCTCATGAATAGGGCTACTTCCCCTCGTTTACGCTTTTGCATTCTATCGGCCCTTACTAATGTAAACCCTCGAAATCAAGTTCCATACTATCTGTGGACTATGTCAGCCAGGTTTCTGTGACTGAGACTATGTCTGGCTTTGTAGAGTCAATCTGTACACCTAGTTCCGATGGCTTATTGTGTAAGCTTCGGGTATTAGTGTAACAGATCCGGAGCCTATTTAAATGGCTTCGTGCTTTACCCAGAGTGATTTCGGTATTATTCTCTGTCGAAGCCTCAAAATTAACAATTTTTAGGTACTGTTCGCTAGCATCTAACCTAAGTTGTAGTTCTTTTTCGGCTCCCCGTCTTTTTACACGTCTGCCAGTGGCAAGTCCTTACGGACAAAAACTGAACCCTTTAATTTATGCCCATTCTTTAAAATTAAGTCCCATTCGTTTGCAGATTTGAACACTACTTTAAGCAGCCTGTGTTGATCAGGTTTCAAGTTCGCTTGACTATCTAATCTATACGCCTTTAGCAAAGTGACTCCAGAGATATTTTGAGGCATAAGTTGATTTAGTAGCTGTTTTGATCAACATAATGTCGTGCTCAAAACAAGTTTTCCGTTCAAAGCTTTCACTCTACTTGATTCTGTGAAAGACAACTGACCTGTCACTGTGGTTAGTCTTCAGATTCTCGACTACTTTTGGGAGGGTAGATATCTCTTTTATATCGTTATATCGTTTTTTTCTTACAACCTGTACCCATTCGTCAACCATGGTTGGAATAGCAACCACAGTCGCGTCAAGCATACTATGGTATTCCGGAGGTTTGTCGACGACTTGGGAATTCAGGTTATGTTTCTTGCTAGAAACCGATCGAGCCTTGCGATTGAGGCTTCTAAGTGTTTCCTGCTGGACGGGGGACAAAAGAAACTTATTTTCTTGAGTCTTTATCTAAGACAGACCTCTTTGGGGACTGTCTTTCCTCCTTTGGTCGGCGTGAGTCAGGTTTTTCCAAGCTCACCTGAGTTTGCTTCACATCGATTTACATGTCGACAGAGCAAGTGCTGTTCGATGTGTGTGCTAAACCACTTTTTGCAGCATTTACCATTGAGATGGCCTCGGTTAGCATGCTGTTTGCGTCCGAACATCACTGCTGACAAAGCCATACGCAACCGTTTTCACTGAACCGTTTGAAAGCCTCAGGAGTCAAGTTCGTGCCAACTTCGTGGTACCAGCCTTCGCACTCATCGCACTGCATGCCGGGATATCGAAAGCCCGGACGTTGGCAATTGCTTTTTTTGCACCGTCCAGTCATCAAACAGAGGCCTTTTTCAAAAAAATTAGGTGCAATAGTACCCAGAGACAAAAATGATCTATGACCAGAAATGTGGAGATTGTTAGAACCAAAAGTACTAACAAACACAATAGAAAAACAAAGTAGTCAAAAGTACCGATAACAAACTAATTTAGAAACAAAAAGATACTCTAACCGAATACTTTAACCGAAATGAATTCAAATAAAGCGTAAACAGTAGTGTTGATACGTAATAAACGATCAAAACAATAGAATTTACTCAGCGAGGAAAAATACCACTGTCCTTCTTAAAATGATTTTGGTGTGTGGTGTCTTTCTCCCATTTAGATCACATGACTGTCAGTGGTTAAATTATTGAAAAGCTGAGCTTCCCGATTCAAACTTTTCCTGCCATGTCTATCAGATGTTGGACATTGCACAGTTGTTTTATCTTGTTGACTAGGTGACCCAGGGCTATGGTTGATGCATAGCCTTACGTTTCCCTGGTTATTGAAGTTCTGGTTGTACAGTCGACTGAGGGATTAGGTAACGAATTTACGAGTTCCACTTGACGGCTTCGCATAGGAAGTTCTACAGTATGAGGCGTGGGGAAGGGCCGAAGGTGGAACTGCGGTTCCTAATATCGACCAAAGTATGTCCACTTCTGGCATTTTTAACTCATTAAAGGCAGCTGGTGTAATAATAGGGAAAGGGGGTGAAAATATTAAAAAAATTCGCGAGGAGGTAATTGTTTACTTGTATATTGTTCGCCCTTCTCCCCTCTAACTTTCTAAGTCCTAACTTGTGAGTGTATTTTCTCTTTCATTTCTTCTGGTTTTGCCCCACTCTTGGCCCGTCCGAATACCAATGTGTCCAAACCAATGGTTCGTAACCCACCCCACCCTGCCCCGTATTGCCCATCTGCTTTTCGCACCACTCACTAATCCGGTCCACTCCCGGTGGGTCATTTCTTACTCTTTTGTTTGTACTACTAGTATTCCGTTAAAGTTACCATCCCCGATAGCAATGGCCCTGAGAGGTATATTCTCATGTCCAAAAAAATTTCTTAACCTATTATAATCTAATATTTTTCCATCTAAAGGGTCTTGGTTCTGGATGGCGATCTCGGTTCAGTCATCGAAATATTCAGAGAAAATCTTGAGAAGGTATGTATGTGTATTTCCTAGTTCACAACTCTTCAGATGCAAAGTAACCGCGATGACGGAGTTGATTTACGTTTACTTGTACATCAAAGCCAGGCTGGATGTGTTATTGGAAGGGCTGGATATAAAATCAAAGAATTACGAGAGGTATTTCATAACCCTTGACGTTTATCGAAAAAATTTAGCAATCAGGTCTTCATACTCTCAAAGTTTATCAGATGCTGTGTCCATGCTCTACTGACAGAGTGATTCAATTGGTTGGTGATGTGGGGAAAGTACTTGATTGTCTCCGTTCTATAGCTGAACTTCTTGAGGTAATCTTCGTTGTTACATAATTTCCCCCAGGGTGCCCCACCTAAGGGCTCTCGCCAGAATTACGACGCACGAAATGCAGATGAATTTATTTCTCTTGAGTATGGAGGCTGGGGAGTAGGCAATCCAGGTCCTGGATTAAATTTGGTCCGTGGTAGGAACAATGTTGCGAATACGAGTTACCCCCATGTGAGTTTTTCCCTTTACTTCACTTCCCGTTTCAATATATCCTTTTGAATTTCTCCAAATTTGTGGCTCAGTGTTCTAAGAAAAAAATAATGGGCTTAAACTAAAAGTCCAAAATGAATAAATGCTAAGAATATTTGGAACTTGAAGTTTAACACCTGTACTTTAATCCGACCACACAGTCCTCTCATACTTGGATTTAAAGCCGACAAATACTAGTGACTGAATTCTCATTTGACTAATCTTGTTGGTTAGTTCCCATAATAAGGTCTCCGTATCCCTGGCTAACCAATATTAAGCGATAGTACCTGCAATCAAAAAGTTGGAGTTTTCAATGAAGTATTTGCCAAATGCATACGACAAAGATGAGTTAAGATAAACGAGTTATAAGCAGCAAACAAGTCCCTACCACTGAGTGCACAGTTAGACTCCTGTGGTCATCTTTGCAGCAGTATAATGCCCATTATTCTGATTTAATTTTTTTCAATTAAGACACTTGGAAACCTTAACTCACCGGGGTGGTTTCAAACCTAACTGAAATTAAGCAGCTCTTTGTGGAGTTGGTATTTATGTGAGTAGTCAAGTTGAAAATTCAACCTAATTAATTTTAGTTTATTTTTACTGGTCCTGAGAGAACGAAATGCCTAAAAGCAGATCTTCGTTTGCATAACCATAAAGTAATGGATTGTTTGAGTAAAATGAGTAAAAATCAAATGAATCCTAAGTTTGATACAAATAATTAGTCAAGTACTTGTTTGCTTGGTTTCGAGAAACATAATAATTAGTACAACTGTTCAATTTCCGTCCTGACGTACAACTCAATAGTTGTATTTCTTTTAACCACCTTTCAAACCCTCACAAAATGTATGAATCTCTATCTGAGCACACCAACCTTAGCTTAACTACTGAGTTATACTGATTTCAACATGATAGCAAGTATATTTTTGTCGTGCGAGTCGAAAGATATTTAGGCTAATAAAAACTGATTTCGAAAAGATGATAGTGAGATTATTACTTTTTCAAAACCTTTTCTGAATATCTTCAAATTCATAAATTTTCCTAGATTTCATTAGCTCACCAAGTTCTTGAGTGCATTTCGATTACTCGCTAATTTAACAAACAAGTTAAAAATTTTATAGTCTTTTAATTCATTATTCGTGTAGAACAATATACTTACAACTGGGATTTTCGGCGGGGGTGCTTCCGGAGCAACAGGACGCAATGGTGGGCAAACGACCTCTGTTAGTCAAGCACTAGCTGGAGGTCTTCCTCACGCATCAGCAGCAGCCATGCTTGCTGCGACTGGTGGTCAGACAACTGGCGGACACAACCCTGGTACGGCAGGAGATGCTGCTGCTGCTACGGCTGCAGCAATGGTAGCCGCGGGATTCATGAGGGGGTATGTAACGTGACGGTCATGTCTATAGCTAAATAAAATAATCATGTACATAAATATGATTACCCAATATAATCAACCACACACAATAACTTGCGCATGAAAGAATTATATATTGCACGATTCCTAACTCAACAAACGTCATGTATCGTCTTCCATTACATTTCGCCATCACGAACTTACACCATTCTCAGCAGAGTATTCGTATGTTTGTTTGTGATTTGTTTTTCTGTGTCTGTAGTCAGTTATATAGCTACTATACTGCATTGTGCACGTTCGTGAATGATGTCGTTAGAGTAGCTGATATTTATGCAATGCATTTGATGCGTGTGCGACAAAATGTTATTAGTGTGTTGTCTGTTTAATGAAACACTAGTGGTCAGTATGACAGCAGGTTTCATTGTCTACTGTGTTGATCATGCTACGCCATGTGAGTGTGCGAACTGAGAGAAGCAGAGTTTCCTTTTACCGTACTATGAAGACAGAATGAATCGATGTACGTTGTGTGTGTGTGTGTGTGTGTGTGTTTCTGAGTAATTTAACTTTGTTCAGGAAGATATTAATTTGTTTTGAGTTTCTGTCTTTTTATGAATATATGCATATGATGAAAGTGTCTTGTCAATGAGTTGTTTTGAATGATTGTTCACTTGTTGTGTAATTATGTGTACGTAGATCTTTGAGTATAGTATGTTGAATAGCCGTTCAGCTACTCCGTGTATATGGGATTCACGACGAGTCGTTTCCTGCGGCTGAGATTGAACGGATGCATTGCTATGCCTCTTGTCCATTCCAGGGACTTGTTTGATACGAATGCAGACGACATGTCACTTTAGTTATTTGTTTTGTGCGTAACAGATATGACTTTTTGGGTTAGTCTTGTATGTGTTGAGCGCTTATGTTGCTGGTGGTTTTGAAATGAATTTTCGACAAATAGATTTTGCGTTGGTCAGTGAATCGTTGTGTTTAAAGTAGCGTTTGTGTGTGGTGTTCGAGCGATTTTGCATTCTCGGGAAGACTTGGTAGTAGAGAAATACATACATGTATGACATGCAAATTTTCAGTGTGCGTGTGCGCTATGCTCTTTCCTTTCTGCATATATATAGTGAGAGAGAGAGAAACGGATTCGTTTGATTTTGTGCAAATGTGATTCAGTGATGTGGGCTAATGTTGGTTTGTTATTTGTGTGTGATGACTTGCCGTGGAGCTGTTCATCGCATTTATAATATGTGCTGAACAGTTGTTTGCGGCTGAAAGATAATTTGTCGTGTCGCACATGCAGGTTCTTTATTTGTAAACCCTGTCATCACAACCGACATACATGAAGCTGTGTCCTGATTGAGAATAGTCTTGTCCGATATGTTCGTTTCATTTTATCTAACAAAAGTGTGTATGTATATAGACAGTTGTATACACATATAGAGTAGATTTTGTATGTTGATGCTTTATATGAGTGTGTATTTGTATTGTTTGGGCTGTGTCGATTGGTTATGGCGAGTAGCCGTTCAGCTGCCCCGTGCATAGTTGATTCACTGTGGGTCGTTTCCTGCGGCTGAGATTGAATGGATGCACTGCTATGCCTCTTGTCCATTTCAGGGACTCGTTGGGTACGATGTGCAGGCCACATGGGATGTTGATTTGTTAAGGTGTTTATGTCGTTCTTAGTAGTGTATTCGTATGTTTGTTTGTGATTTGTTTTTCTGTGTCTGTAGTCAGTTATATAGCTACTATACTGCATTGTGCACGTTCGTGAATGATGTCGTTAGAGTAGCTGATATTTATGCAATGCATTTGATGCGTGTGCGACAAAATGTTATTAGTGTGTTGTCTGTTTAATGAAACACTAGTGGTCAGTATGACAGCAGGTTTCATTGTCTACTGTGTTGATCATGCTACGCCATGTGAGTGTGCGAACTGAGAGAAGCAGAGTTTCCTTTTACCGTACTATGAAGACAGAATGAATCGATGTACGTTGTGTGTGTGTGTGTGTGTGTGTGTTTCTGAGTAATTTAACTTTGTTCAGGAAGATATTAATTTGTTTTGAGTTTCTGTCTTTTTATGAATATATGCATATGATGAAAGTGTCTTGTCAATGAGTTGTTTTGAATGATTGTTCACTTGTTGTGTAATTATGTGTACGTAGATCTTTGAGTATAGTATGTTGAATAGCCGTTCAGCTACTCCGTGTATATGGGATTCACGACGAGTCGTTTCCTGCGGCTGAGATTGAACGGATGCATTGCTATGCCTCTTGTCCATTCCAGGGACTTGTTTGATACGAATGCAGACGACATGTCACTTTAGTTATTTGTTTTGTGCGTAACAGATATGACTTTTTGGGTTAGTCTTGTATGTGTTGAGCGCTGATGTTGCTGGTGGTTTTGAAATGAATTTTCGACAAATAGATTTTGCGTTGGTCAGTGAATCGTTGTGTTTAAAGTAGCGTTTGTGTGTGGTGTTCGAGCGATTTTGCATTCTCGGGAAGACTTGGTAGTAGAGAAATACATACATGTATGACATGCAAATTTTCAGTGTGCGTGTGCGCTATGCTCTTTCCTTTCTGCATATATATATATATATAGTGAGAGAGAGAGAGAGAGAAACGGATTCGTTTGATTTTGTGCAAATGTGATTCAGTGATGTGGGCTAATGTTGGTTTGTTATTTGTGTGTGATGACTTGCCGTGGAGCTGTTCATCGCATTTATAATATGTGCTGAACAGTTGTTTGCGGCTGAAAGATAATTTGTCGTGTCGCACATGCAGGTTCTTTATTTGTAAACCCTGTCATCACAACCGACATACATGAAGCTGTGTCCTGATTGAGAATAGTCTTGTCCGATATGTTCGTTTCATTTTATCTAACAAAAGTGTGTATGTATATAGACAGTTGTATACACATATAGAGTAGATTTTGTATGTTGATGCTTTATATGAGTGTGTATTTGTATTGTTTGGGCTGTGTCGATTGGTTATGGCGAGTAGCCGTTCAGCTGCCCCGTGCATAGTTGATTCACTGTGGGTCGTTTCCTGCGGCTGAGATTGAATGGATGCACTGCTATGCCTCTTGTCCATTTCAGGGACTCGTTGGGTACGATGTGCAGGCCACATGGGATGTTGATTTGTTAAGGTGTTTATGTCGTTCTTAGTAGTGTATTCGTATGTTTGTTTGTGATTTGTTTTTCTGTGTCTGTAGTCAGTTATATAGCTACTATACTGCATTGTGCACGTTCGTGAATGATGTCGTTAGAGTAGCTGATATTTATGCAATGCATTTGATGCGTGTGCGACAAAATGTTATTAGTGTGTTGTCTGTTTAATGAAACACTAGTGGTCAGTATGACAGCAGGTTTCATTGTCTACTGTGTTGATCATGCTACGCCATGTGAGTGTGCGAACTGAGAGAAGCAGAGTTTCCTTTTACCGTACTATGAAGACAGAATGAATCGATGTACGTTGTGTGTGTGTGTGTGTGTGTGTGTGTCTGAGTAATTTAACTTTGTTCAGGAAGATATTAATTTGTTTTGAGTTTCTGTCTTTTTATGAATATATGCATATGATGAAAGTGTCTTGTCAATGAGTTGTTTTGAATGATTGTTCACTTGTTGTGTAATTATGTGTACGTAGATCTTTGAGTATAGTATGTTGAATAGCCGTTCAGCTACTCCGTGTATATGGGATTCACGACGAGTCGTTTCCTGCGGCTGAGATTGAACGGATGCATTGCTATGCCTCTTGTCCATTCCAGGGACTTGTTTGATACGAATGCAGACGACATGTCACTTTAGTTATTTGTTTTGTGCGTAACAGATATGACTTTTTGGGTTAGTCTTGTATGTGTTGAGCGCTGATGTTGCTGGTGGTTTTGAAATGAATTTTCGACAAATAGATTTTGCGTTGGTCAGTGAATCGTTGTGTTTAAAGTAGCGTTTGTGTGTGGTGTTCGAGCGATTTTGCATTCTCGGGAAGACTTGGTAGTAGAGAAATACATACATGTATGACATGCAAATTTTCAGTGTGCGTGTGCGCTATGCTCTTTCCTTTCTGCATATATATATATATATATATATATATATATATATATAGTGAGAGAGAGAGAGAGAGAGAGAAACGGATTCGTTTGATTTTGTGCAAATGTGATTCAGTGATGTGGGCTAATGTTGGTTTGTTATTTGTGTGTGATGACTTGCCGTGGAGCTGTTCATCGCATTTATAATATGTGCTGAACAGTTGTTTGCGGCTGAAAGATAATTTGTCGTGTCGCACATGCAGGTTCTTTATTTGTAAACCCTGTCATCACAACCGACATACATGAAGCTGTGTCCTGATTGAGAATAGTCTTGTCCGATATGTTCGTTTCATTTTATCTAACAAAAGTGTGTATGTATATAGACAGTTGTATACACATATAGAGTAGATTTTGTATGTTGATGCTTTATATGAGTGTGTATTTGTATTGTTTGGGCTGTGTCGATTGGTTATGGCGAGTAGCCGTTCAGCTGCCCCGTGCATAGTTGATTCACTGTGGGTCGTTTCCTGCGGCTGAGATTGAATGGATGCACTGCTATGCCTCTTGTCCATTTCAGGGACTCGTTGGGTACGATGTGCAGGCCACATGGGATGTTGATTTGTTAAGGTGTTTATGTCGTTCTTAGTAGTGTATTCGTATGTTTGTTTGTGATTTGTTTTTCTGTGTCTGTAGTCAGTTATATAGCTACTATACTGCATTGTGCACGTTCGTGAATGATGTCGTTAGAGTAGCTGATATTTATGCAATGCATTTGATGCGTGTGCGACAAAATGTTATTAGTGTGTTGTCTGTTTAATGAAACACTAGTGGTCAGTATGACAGCAGGTTTCATTGTCTACTGTGTTGATCATGCTACGCCATGTGAGTGTGCGAACTGAGAGAAGCAGAGTTTCCTTTTACCGTACTATGAAGACAGAATGAATCGATGTACGTTGTGTGTGTGTGTGTGTGTGTGTTTCTGAGTAATTTAACTTTGTT